CTTTTGACTCCTGCGATGACTGCAATGAACAGTGGGCATCAGAAGACATGAGGGTGTCCTGACGGTGAGCAGAAAACCCTGAGGGGAGGCGTGTGCTGTTTGGCGGAAGTCAGGGCGCTGTGGGTCGTTTCAGAGACCGAATTTCCCTTCCCCCATCAGAGGTCGACTAGAATTCCTTTTCGCAGGAAACACCGGCCAAATGACTTCTTTCGAAAATACAGTTCTAATTCCAGAATGTGACGGAGTTATCCTCATCAGACCCGACAGCTCCTGGGAAGACATTTCCCTCAAATCTGCTCTCGTTGGGCCGGGGCGAGGGTTCGGGCCCAGGACCGCCTCCTGCTGGTTATGTAACCGCTGGGAGTGACCCCAGGGAACCGTGAATGAGGCCCCCAGGGGTCCCACCTCGTTATCGGGGAGCACCTGGTGAGCGTGTCCAACCCTCTGTGGGCTGTTCACACTGTTAGTCGGGCTGTTTACCCAACATGGATTTTATGAGACGGCCCCTGGACCGAGGATTCTGCAAATCCCCAGGAGAGGGAAGGTTGTTCTTGGGGGTCGGGTAAGGCCCTGGTGAGCCGTGCTCTCTGCCCGGCACTGTTTAGATGTGTTAGGCCGCTGTGTTTGGGTCTCAAGTTCTCATTAGTGCAGTAATCAGGAAGGCAAGCCCCGAGAAGGGGTTGCGGGGAAAGACTCGAGAACCTGTTGCTCCGTCCCTGTGCTGGCCCAGGCCGCCCTGAGACGGTCTGGGCTGCTGCGAAGGCCCAGTCCCGACACGCTGGCCCTCATCCCTTCTGCTCTGGTTCACCGAGTGCATCTCCACGGCCTTGGCCTTCCCCACTGCGGTGACGCCCACGGGCCACTGCCTGGCTTTCCTCGCAGGGCTCCTTATGGGAACATCTAGGAGAGGAAAACCCACCACCTATATTCCCGTTGTGGTTTTCGGAAGGTTCTTTCTAAAGGTTCCACTATGCAGACTCTTCTGAATACTCAAAGGAAGCCCTACGAGCTAACCTGTTTCCATGCCAGCCTGCAGCCCCACCCCCCAAGAGGCTGACTTGATACAAAGACTTTCAAGACCTGGGAAATGACTCTCTGCCACAGCCATCATTTCCTCAAAGTTGTCTCCTCTTGCAGCTGAAAATTCCAATTCCTTCAACCCTTCCTCAGTGACAGCCAGCTGTTTCAAAATTTCTTGGCCACCATCCAGGTGGCTTCAGAGACAGTGGCTGGGCCCCCTGCCGTGCCCACCCGCGGCCCCCGAGGGCGTGGCCCCCTCCTGCCTCCCGACAGCTGCCCCAGCAGGGCCCAGCGGCCTTTCCACGCACCAGCACAGTGCTGTGTGATTCTTAATATCAGCAGAGTGGACTTCAAAAAACAAGCCCCCTCTGGAAATCACTCCTGGCCACCCGCATTGACCCTCCTAGACCGTGCAGTCCCTGGGGAAGAACTGAGACCCCCTGAAGGGCGGTTCTGCTGGGGCGGCCTGGGGGCTTCACGGCTTCGTCTGGGGACCCCGGGGGGCCGGAAGGAGCTGGGTTCCTGCCCCGCACATGGGCGGCGGCTGTTGACTGCGAGTCCCTCACCCAGCCAGGATCTGGATTAGGCAGGAGCTGCCGCCCTGCAGCTGGTCTCGGCCTGGGGAACAGGTCTGCCGCCCCTTGCCCCTGTCTAGCTTAGGGCGCTGTTGAGGGCCTGCTGCCTCCTACAGCTCGGAAGGGTGGGCAGCAGGGGACAGGGAGCCTATGAAGGCCTCTTAAGGCGGAGGGGGTGCAGCAGGCTGCCCGCCAAGCCCAAGGCCTGCACAGAGGCAGGGGCGTCGGTCACGGCTGGGGAGAACTGGACTGAACGGTATACGATAGGGCCGATCTTTGATGGCATTCTTCCTAATAATTGCTATTTTCAAAATGCATTCATTCATTTATCTTGGGCTGTGTCAGGTCTTCGATGCTTCGCATGAATGTTCTCTAGCTGCGGCAACAGGAGCTACTCTCTGCTGCCACGGGCGGGCTTCTCCCTGGGGTGGGTTCTCTTGTTGAGCGCACAGCATGTGGGATCTTCCCCAACCAGGGCTCAAACCTGAGTCCCGTGCGCTGGCAGGCAGATTCTTATCCACTGCCCCACCAGGGAAGTCCTACTTACCATTTTTACAAACAGTGCACATGGGGTTAGATAGAATTTCCAGGTGCTGACGAAAAAAGCAGGCCATTGTATTATTGGGAATTTTCACACCATGGGCAAATTCTTGAAGCATCAAGTGTAGAATTCACTTTGACACCATCCAGGCACTCTTAGGGAGGCCCCCACCTGAAAGTAAACTCCATGGCGCAGGATGACGTGGGGAACGCTTTCAGGCGACACTATCGCTATTTACTCGGGTTGTACCGGAGTTTTGTCTGTGCTCACGGTCTCCCGTCAAGCCGTCAGCTGACAGAGCAGCAGGGAAAGCGATGGGCCTGGGTCTCTGGAGGACGGATTCTGAGATGCTTCGCTGAAATAGGAGCAGGGCATATTGTCCTGGAAGGGCCAGGGCAGTTTTAAACCACGCGGAATTCCAAACGGCTCTAAAGCTTCCAGGATGCCTCGCATGTGAACAGTGGAAAGAGCAGAGACCTTGGGGCCAGGGGGCGCTGTGTTCAAATCCCTTTGTGGGTAGGACGCTCTTTTTCAGGGCTGAGAGGCCCGAGGTCCAATCCTGGTGCTGTCACTGCGCAGTTGTGGGGTTTTGCAAAGTCCCTGAGCCCCCCACCCCACCCCACCTTGGCTGCGGTTTTCTCATGTCTGAAGTGAGGCAGGCCATGGCTTAGACTCTCAGACAGACTGAAAGGTCTCTTTCGGGGTCTATGAAAAAATCGGGCGGGGGTCTCATATGTGTTGTGCATTGGAGCCAGCTATAGAAAAATGGGCTCATGGGCATTAGGAACCCATGCAACTAAGTTACTGGGCTCCACTGTTCACAGTGTATCAGCTTCTCATGGTCCTGCCTCCTCTCGGTGGCTTTGGGGAGCAGTAGCTAGATGTGGTGGAGAAGGAAATGGCAACCCACTGCAGTGTTCTTGCCTGGAGAATCCCAGGGACGGGGGAGCCTGGTGGGCTGCCGTCTATGGGGTCGCACAGAGTCGGACACGACTGAAGCGACTCAGCAGCAGCAGCTAGACGTGGGGCTAGTGGTAACGAACCTGTTTGCCAATGGAGAAGACATAAGCTTCATGGGTTCAATCCCTGGGTCAGGAACATCCCCTGGAGGAGGGCTTGGCAACCCACTCCAGTATTCTTGCCTGGAAAATGCCATGCACAGAGGAGCCTGGCGGGCTACAGTCCATAGGGCTGCAAAGAGCTGGACATGACTGAAGAGACTTGGCAGGCAGGCAGCCTGTGCTGAATAGGGTCACTGTCCCTCCAGGGAGGATACAAATCTATACATCACGTGGCTCTAATTCTCCCCTCTTTCCATACTTTCTGTTAGAAAAGCTCTTGTGCCAAAGAAACAAGCCAAGCTTCGAGATTTGGGAATTATTTTTTTTCTCTGAAGAGCATCAACCCATTATGCAAATGAGGTTGTCCACTGCTGAGGATCTAGGTGCGCAAGACCACAGGCTCACCATTAAAAAAACAACCAAAGGACAGACATTTTCAGTTTAAATGAAAGAAAGAGAAGCTGCTCAGTCGTGACTCTGGGCGACCCTATGGACTGTAGCCCGCCAGGCTCCTGCATCCATGGGATTCTCCAGGCAAGAGTACTGGAGTGGGTTGCCATGTCCTTCTCCAGGGGATCTTCCCGACCCAGGGATCCAACCTGGGTTTCCCGCACTGCAGGCAGGCTCTTTACTGACCGAGCCCCCAGGAAGCCCTACCGCTTTCAGCTGAGAGGACTGCAGTTCCTGCGCTGTTTGCTCACCTCGGCATGCTCCTTGCTGTCATTGTTGAGAAATAAGACTTCTGTGCACAGAGACAACAGCAGTAAGAGCGATCGCCCACGGAGCTCTTTCCACTAGTCGGGCACTCGAGTTGTCTTATTATTTCAGACAAAGACCTCAGGAAGTATGCGTCGCTGCCCCCAAGGTATAGATGAGGAAAAGGAGGCTGAGATGTATTAAGAAGCCGTCTGAGATTGCCCATGTCAGAGCCAGGATTCAAACCCAGTTCTCCTAACATCCTCACCAAACCACAGAACAGTTGTCAAAAATATATCCTTAATAACAACAAACATGTATATGTATATATATATATCTCCTTAAAATGCCCCATCTTTCTGGAAGACCGACAGCCAGCTGATGGGGTGTCTGTGTGTGTCTGTGTGCCTGTCCCTTAGCAGGAGGGTAGTTACTCTCTTTCCATCTCTGTTGCCTCTGAGAACACACTTATGAGACTGTGGGGAGGACTGAATGAATTTATCCATGCAAAGAACTCAAGAGCAGTGCCTGGCACTTAGAGCTCAGTGACCGTCAGCTAGGATGATGGCTATTCTCATTGTGCATGTACGGATGCTCTGTAGTCTTTAGATAAATTTACATAAACAGGTGTTGCTCCATTTTGAGAGGAAATGGAAGTTCATAGAGGTTAAGTGCCTGGAATATAGTTTTTATGAACTAATTCAATGCTCTTCTCACTATATCAAATACCTCAATTACAATTAAGCAAAAGTCACTCAGTTGCTTCCAGCTCTTTGTGACCTCATGGACTATAGAGTCCATGGAATTCTCCAGGCCAGAACACTGGAGTTGGTTGCCTTTCCCTTCTCCAGGGGATCTCCCCAACCCAGGGATTGAACCCCGGTCTCCTGCACTGCAGGCAGATTCTTTACCAGCTGCGTCACCAGGGAAGCCCCAGTTATGATTAAGACATATAAATATATACGTATTTATATACATATTTATGCATAGTTACATTTGTTATACATACACACACGCAGACTTCAGAGTGTGACCCTTGCTGATAATCCAACACTCTGCATTTCTTATTATGTAAAAAATGACTGCTTATTGTGTTAAGAGTCTCACCTTTGGGAGTCTGTACTTTTCTCTGAGGTGAACTCTGAGGCACGCCCTCTCGGCCTTTTTCTGTGTAAATGCAGCATCTCTTTCCATCCTGAAAGTGAAAGAATCAGAATGAAGGATCAGAGGACCTGAGACCACTGGCTGCTCCAGCCCCCTGCTTAGAGGAGCCAGACACTGGGCCACACCCTTTGAGTGTTTTCCTACATCCCCAGGCGTCTGCCTCTCCGTCTGGAATTGCACGCTCATGACTGAGTACAGATCTGACTTCCCAAAGACGCGTCGGTTCTGCGAACCTCTCTGTGACGCAGCGTGGGAGAGGCAGGGGTCCACCCTGATGGGGAGCTGACCTCACTGTGTTCCTCTCACCCCTCCCGGGAGCACAGGCATCACAGTCACCTGGGGCGCTTGCCTACCATGCAGCTTCCCAGCCTGTCTGCATCATGGAGAGAAGCTATGTTTTCTAAATCATTTTGTTTCTTATTTTATTATACTTTTTAGGGGCTGACACATTTACTGCTTCTGAAATGATTGGTGTATAAGCTGATAACAGAGGATGCAGGGTATTACTTTGGGGATGTAAGTTTTATTTATTTCTGGAATTTAAAACATTGAAATATAGTTGCTGTACAATAGTATGTTGTCACAGGTATACAATAGAGCAATTTATGACTTTTATTTAAGAAAGTTTTTTTGAGCTGTGTCGCTCAGCATAGGAAATCTTAGTTCCGTAACCAGGGGTTGAACCTGGGCCCCTTGCAGGGGAAGTTCAGAGTCCTAAGTGTTGGACTGCCAGGGAATTCTTCCTCCCTCTTTCTTCCCCCACAATTTTTATAGGTTATCTTCCATTTATAATGATCATAATTAACATATTGGCTGTGTTCCCTATTTTGTACAATATATCCTTATAGCTTATTTTACACATAATAATTTGTACTTGGGACAGAAGTTTTAAATTCTACAGAACACTTATTTTTATGGAACAAAAATGTTTGGAGCAAACCCTTAGCATCTCCTTCCGTTTCCTTTCCTGACGTCCTTTTAGAAACCCTCATGTGGACTTTCCACATATCTATTTAAGGCCAGGTTCGGTCTCCACCCATGCTGCCTTGATTCTGCAAGATACTCAAGCTGAGAGTCGTAATTCTGTGTTTTAAAGGATGATCTTCTCCAGATCTCTGCAGAGCTGTGTTTCTGCAAAACAGTTCCACCCAGTGACTGAGAGTTTGAGATTCAGTCATTATTCAATTCATTTAATTCCATCAATAAACGGGGATCAGAATTCTGAGCTACAATAATGTGGAATTTTTTAAAAAAAGCACTCGCAATCCTTGACAGCTGAACAGGGACGTGTAAAATATAAATGACAGGGAATCCAACTGCGACAAGTTCTCTCTGTGACCTTGCCAAAGAGACGTGCTCTGGAAACGGCGCCTTAGTCCAGGGAGGAACACCTGCTCCTCCCTTCCCGTTGTCAGCATCTATAAGCCAGGTCGTGCAGACTTCTTCCAGTGTCTCTCCTCACCACGCCTTCCATTCTGACCATCGCAGCCTCATGAATGTCCGTCACTCCATACCGTATCTCATGTAGATTCTTATCTTCATACCAGGACTTATGCAGTGATTTTTAAAATAGGTTTCTAGTCCCGAATTATCAAAAAGAGCTGGAAGTAGTGGTGTACTGGCTGATGTATCACAATCAGCTTTCTGGGGAAGAAGCTCTGTAGCACCTGCCAGGTTCCATGGTGCCAGTATTTCCACTGAAGTGGATTTCAAACTATTAAAATCAACTTGATGTCACCGATATTGGGGAGAAACTGGGGAGAGATACATGCGATTAACTGATAGGTCACCGCAGCATGCCGTGGGTCAGCTCAGCACACCATTGGCTGAGATCCGTTTTTCTCAACCACTGTTTAAATCAGGCTACCCTCAGATGCTGCAGTCTCCTTCACTGCGTACCATGGAGACAGCCCACATGCTTTGCCCACTTTTCTCTACCACTTGAGGCACTTGATTAGAGGCCGCATTGGCCACTTAAAAGATCCCCCTGCTTCCATCGTGGCCCTGCCATTGAGAAGTGACATTTTTAACAAACGGCCTGAGTGATTCTTACACAAGCCAAACAGAGATGCAGCATCCAGGATGGGGGCCGTTTGGTGGCAGACAGGATTTGGGGATTTAATATAAAGCTATTTCCCTTCATTGTCAACCCTCTAAGTCCCAATATAGGTACAGCCATCCCTTCCCTGGGCGAAGGGATCACTCACACAAGATACAGTGTGGATTTTCAGAATGCTCTGTGGACAGCCTAATTGGACTTGTGATTTGCTGTTGGAAGTGGGCTCCCTTGTCCTCGATGATCCAGAGAGAAGTAGACACCTTTGAGGATGTTGGTGACACTCACCTGAACCACCTCCTCTCCTAGCTGCCCAGCGAAGCACGTTGTTAGAGGCTGCTTTTATACACGGGCTTCCCTGCTGGCTCAGCGGTAAAGAATCCACCTGCCATGGCAGGAGACGTGGGTTCGATCCCTGGGTTGAGAAGGACATCTGGAGGAGGGCATGGCTGCCCACCCCAGTCCTCTTGCCTGGAGAATCCCATGGACAGAGGAGCCTAGGGGACTGCAGTCCACGGGGTCGCCAACAGTCAGACGGGACTGAGCGACTCAACGACGGCATCAGGAAGATTTTACGCGTGGCCCCGCTCGCTAGCTGCACAGGACTAGACCAAGCTGGTAAGTGGAATTTCTTCTCTGAGAATTTGGTTTGGGATGGAGTAAGTCAGAGACTCGCAGTGTGGCTGGGTCTGTTCACAGGTGAGCTGGGAGGACATCAGCTGACCACCCCCACGGGTGGTTTGGGTGACAGAGGAGCAGAGGGCTGACTGCCCTGAAAGGACAAAGCGGCCACACAGAGGCGGACGGGGTGGCCAGGGATCGAATGAGGGCCCGTGACTCCCAGTGATGCTCTGGTCCTGGTTCAGCCCACAAGGCCTGAGGGCATGTCTGCAACGGGTCTGGTGAAGCGTCTTTGCAAGAAGCATGTTAGTTGCTCAGTCGTTTCCGACTTTTTGTGAGCCTGTGGTCTGTCCATGGGATTTTCCAGGCAAGAACACTGGAGTGGGTTGCCATCCCCTTCTCCAGGGAATCTTCCCAACCCAGGGATCCAACCTGAGTCTCCTGCATTGCAGGTGGATTCTCTGCCACTGAACTACCTGCCATGCTATGCTAAGTTGCTCAGTCGTGTCCGACTTTTTGTGACCCTATGGACTGTAGCCCACTGGGTTTCTCTGTCCATGGGATTCTCCAGGCAAGAATGCTGGAGTGGGTAGCCATGCCCTCCTCCCTGAACTACATGATTTGCCTTAAAATAAATACCCTATTTTCAGGTGGCTCCGTTGGTTTCTATTTCTTAACTCCAAGTTCTGGAATCATCTCAACCATTACACAGAAGCCTGGCTGAAAAAGAGTTGGCTCTGAAGGCATCATATTAAACGGCTCATCACGGGGCCCTGGCTTTGGACACTGTCTGAACTCATTTCCCTCGGCAAAAAGTCAGGCCTGGAGGAGGCATGAGAGAACCCTGGGCTGAGTCTCCTCGTTTAGGGAAAGAGAACTTGCTGAAGAGCTCAGAGACCCGGGGGCATGGGCAGAAGCCGATCTCCCCCCAACACCGATACTTTACTATAAAAAGACTCAAGCGTACAGAAAAGTTGAAACAACTTTACAGTTGACACGCATATACTCACCATTTATATCCTACTATTGGCATCTTCCTATACATTTTAGAAAATGTCGCTTACCTAGCCCTCTCTCTCCATTTCTCTCTCCACTCATTTATCCATCATATTTTCTGATACATTTCAAAGTTGTTGACATCAGTACTTTCTTCCCCCAAACACTTCAATGTGCATACCACACCTCCAATTACATATCTGTTTATTTGTTGTTGTCCAGTAGCTAAGTTGTGTCCAACTCTTTGCAACCCCGTGGACTGTGGCATGCCAGGCTGTCCTTCACCATCTCCCAGAGCTTGCTCAAACTCATGTCCCTTGAGTTGGTGATGCCAATCCAACCATCCCATCCTCTGTCATCCCACCATCTCATCCTCTGTCATCCCTTTCTCCTTCTGCTCTCAATCTCTGCCAGCATCCGGATCTTTTTCAGTGAGTCGGCTCTTCTCATCAGGTGGCCAAAGTATTGGGGCTCCTTTTCTTTTGAATCAAAATGTTACATGCTATTAAATGCACAGACCTTAAATGGACTGTGCTGGTTAACTTCGTGTGTCAGCTCAATTGGGACACAGGGTGTCCTGATTAAACATCATTTCTGAGTGAGCTGGGAGGCTGTTTCTAGGTGAGATGAGCATTGGCATCGGTGGGCGGTGGACGGAGTGAAACAGAAGGGCCTCCTCGGTGTGTGTGTGTGTGCGTGGAGGGGGTCAGAGCTCTTGGAATCCACGGAGGGTTTGAATCAACAAAAGGGCCTCCTGCCTGCCTGCCTGCTTGCTGAGCTGAGACAGCAATCTCCTCTTGCTCTGAGAACCCTCCAGTTCTCAGAGCCGCACCACCGACTTGCCTGGATTGCAGGGGGCAGATGGTGGGATTTCCCGGCTTCCACAGCCACATGAACACTGGCTTCTTGTGATGAATCTTGTATATATCTGTGTGCACATACATGTATTTTTTCTCTTCTCTCGGTTCTGCTCTTGCTGTGTAAACCCAACCTCTATTAACGTGTAAAAGTCATTACTATCACCTGAGGAAATACCCCCATCCTGCTCTCAATCAACGCCTGCTCCCAGTCCCAGAGGCCACCACTGTCTTCTTCCCACCGTAGGTTGGGTTTGCCTCTTCTAGATCTTCATACAAATGTAACCACACGCTATGCATTCTTCTGTGTAACTCTTCTTTCACTCTGCGTAAAAAAACCCTGGGGGTTTATCCAGCTTGTTTTACTTACCAGGGGTTTGCTCCTTTTCATTACTGAGTGTGTTCTACTGTGTGACTACATTTCGTTTGTTTATTCATTCTATTGATGAACACTTGGATTATTTCCTGGTTTGGGCTCCTGTGAATGAAGCTACTGGGAACATTTTTGTACAAGTCTTTTTGTGGACGTATATAGTTCTCTAGTTGCAGTGCACGTTTTAAACTTTGATAATGTCTAATTCCTCATTTCAAAATTTTATGGTCACTGGTTTCAGGGTCATGTTTAAGAAATTTCTGCCTACTTCCAAGATGCAAAGATATTCTGTTTCTTTTTTTTTCTGGATGCTTTATAATTTTCGTTTTTATGCTTGAGTCTGCGGTGCGCGTCAAAGTTCACGTTACAAGTGATGGCATGGCAGTAGCTGTGTCATAACTGAGGGGACGCTTTCATATAACGGAGAGAAATGGAGGGACAAACAGGTTGTTTTATTTAGGACTTGCCAAATATTCTATTTCGGTATAGACCTCTTTCAGTACTAACACTACCAATATGGTGGGGGGCGGAGGGGGGGAGAGGTGGAATCTGAACATGGAAATAAAGTAAAAATGATGTGCCATGGAGTGTATTGTTGGGTAGTATTTGATTTATTATGAGTAAAGTCAATCCCATAACTTTTCTAAAATGATGAGGAAAAGTTAAGGAGGCTTTTATTTGCTAATATTCATTCGAATTATTATATATATTATGATGTGTGTAGCTGTCTCTAGATATAGCTTGTGTGAACCATTTTTGATGCCTACTAATTTTTTCATTGTAGTAGTTGCTCCAATTTATACATTTCAAAAATTTTTTTCTATTGAAGTATAACTGATTTACAATGTGTTAGTTTTGGGTGTACATCAAAGTGATTCTGCTTTATATATACGTGTGTGTGTGCTCAGTCATATCTGACCCTTTTGTGACCCCATGAACTATAGCCCACCAGGCTCCTCTGTCCATGGAATCAGCAATAAGACATAGGCAATTATCATGTAATTATTAGCAAAACAGCCACAGTGGCACACACACAAAAAACTTTTGTAACATATCGTGAACTTTTAACTTCAAGACTGATGCTTCAATACTCAGTTGATTTGATTATTAAAACTCTTAAATTCTACCTTAAACTTAAAAAAATTAAATATAGATTACACTCAGTCATCAGTAGTGGAAAAATTGGTAATATTCACATTCCATAATACTCAACTGAAATGTTACTAATGTTTTATTTTATTACATTTTATATAGCCAGAAGAATGTCCTTATGTTTTGAGGTATATAGGTAAAGTATCCAGGGGTAAAGTATCAGGATGTCTGTAATTTACTTTAAAAATGGTTCTCTGTACTTATTTATCTATCAATCAATCATCTATTCTCCAACCAACAAATTATCTGTAAGCAAACATGACAGAACATCAACTGTCAATCTTATGCCATAGGTATACATGGCCATTCATTATACTGTTCTACTCTCCTGTATCTTTATAGTTTTCACAATAGGCAGTCCACAGAACTATTCAGAGTCTTTGGAGAAGCCAAGTCTTATGACATAATTGTCATGTTGTATTTTCCAGGCTTTTTCCCCCCTGCACATGTAAGTTCAAGAAGATTGTACTCTGTTCTTTAAGGCCCCTTCCAGGTGCAAAGTCTGAATTCCCACCATTTGAAAGCTTTCTACATTCACCTAACAGGGTGAATTTCCTGATGACTGTAAAAATATTCAGGCACCCAATTTTTCATTTGAACACCTGAGGTCAATTAAAATGTGCCGGGATCAGAAAGTTTCAGCTGCTTTTAAGGATGACATGTAGATTTGTTGCTAGCATTTTTCATTTCCATTCATACAGATAAGACAAGAGTAGCTGTTGATGCTAGGAACTGGCTCACTGCTGAGCAAGGCCCACGGCATAGGAAGGGCACCTGAAGGGCGGAGCGGGAGGGCCGGGCGCCCTGGGCAGCGTGGCCGCAAGGAGACCCTCCGCCCGGCAGGGAGCCCGAGCCGCGTGTACTCACTTCTCCTCGATTATCTGCTTCTGGTACTCTTCATACTCCTCTCGGCTCATCCCGTGAGCAGCTGCGGGGTCAGACGCCCCTCCTTCTTCTTTCTTTTCTTCAGACCCGCCACCGAGTCCTAGATTCTTCACCTGGTTACTTATCATAGTTTTCATAAGGAAAGCCATTCTGTCTGCCCTCAGAGGAAGAAAACCAAACACTCCGAGAAAACTCAAAACAACAAACAAATCACAAAATCTCCAAGAATTTTCAGTGATAGCAACACGTTGAAAAGCAAAGGACTCTGCGCAGCCTCATCCGTTCAAGGGCATAATGATAGCGAGGAGTGGTTTGTGGGCTCTAAGCTGGATTAAAGAGGTGAACGCCTTAGCAGAGAGGCAGATGGCTCCGATTACCAAGGCATGCAATCAGATGCAGCCAACTACTTTCTGAATTAGTACACTAAGCTAACTTCAGAGGCGGAAAAAAATCCTTCACATTATCCATCCCTCTCCCATTTCTAAGGTTTAAATTATAAGTGCAGCAGGGCTTCATCAAGGGTTGTTTCAACTAAATGAATCGGAGGTGGCTGATTATATGGCTGTGGTGGAAGTTCCAAATTCCAGGCCATGAGGACAACATCCTGTTGAGAACTGAGTCCAGTGAGATGCAAAACCTAAAATGCTTTATTTAGCAAAAATAATCCTTTGATCCATCATTTTATCTCATTGGACTCTCAGGACTATGTAAGGATTTGTGTTTTGGTTTGCTTGAATCCTATGCTGTTTCAGTGGTTCCTGGGTCCTGGACATAAACACCCAACGAGGCCAGTGTGAAGGGCAAGCCAGAGGGTCCTTCACGTACACCTGGAAGATGAGCCTAGCTTGCTCCTGCACTGAAAGGTTATACTTCTGCATGGAGACAACGCGCTGGACTCTTGCAAAGCTCTGGCCCAGAAGGTGAGAACACGGGTGGGTCAGGGCCTCGGTGGGTACTGGGTATTCTCCTCTGCCCTGGCGGCTCACATAGCAAAGACTGCCTGCAATGCAGGACACCCGGGTTCCTGCTCCGGGCCAGGAAGGTCCCCTGGAGAAGGGAATGGCTACCCACTCCAGTATTCTTGCCTGAATTCCATGGACAGAGGAAGCTGGCGGGCTGCAGTCCATGGGGTCGCAGAGTCGGATACCACGGACTAACACTTTCACACGTTTTTCCTCTTACACGCAGTCACTTCCTGGGTGCTCTGTCTAAACTCACTGGTGTACCTGGAGAAAACTTTCGACAGCGTTTGGTAATAGCAGATTCTCAATGGCTGTGGTTTCCTCCAGGTCAAGGGAGGAATTTGAGCATGGCTCAGACTTTAATCTACCTTAGTATCTTTCTAATTAAAGCACTCCAAGAGGGGGTGGGGAGGAGGGGAGAGAGACAGCCTGTTTGTAAGCTACGCTTATTATTTCATCCACAGGCATGAGCCCGTGCAGGAAATAGACGACTCTCCCTCAGATTGTACACAACCACATACACTGGATCTTTGCCTAAAATGCTTGCTTTATGTATTTTAAGATCTGCTTTTCACGTTACTAACCTAAAGTGTTGCTAAAATGGTCTCAGTTTAAAAAATTAACATTTAGGGTGAAATAAGAAACTTTTCTTGGTGTTCTTTGATCGAGAATGTACTTTCACACTTAATTCCACTTCCACTTTTAAAGATGTGTTGCTTGGACTTAATACATTCAAGCCATGACCCCTAAATTATTTTTATAATAAACTGCATTTCATATCCATTGAGAAGCCTTACGCATCATAGAACTTTGCATAAAGGAGAAGTCACAGTTTGTTTCTGTCTGCTATCTTCCTGGTTTAACACAAGTCTCCTTACAGGTGTTTTGAAACATTAAAAGACACTTTTTATTTCTCAAAGAAAAGGACCATTTCTAAAAGCAAAACAATAAAGATAAAAATCTATGTTATTCAGTTAAATTATTATATTATAAAACGATTAGGAAATCCCGACAGTGAGGGTCTCGGTTCTGAACCCCAAAGCCAGACTGTGAGGCCATCTCTCCCTAAGCAGTCCTTTGTGTGCGTGTGATGGGGGAAGGGGTGCTGGGCATCACAGAAACTCCTGGGTGATGACCATACCAGGGTGACAAACGAATGCTCCCTGGGATTGTTCGCAAAATCAGATCTTTCATTGCTTTCCCGTAAGATAATTTCTTTGAAAAGAGCACCGTGTTTTTAAAAACTTTTTATTCAGTTTATTCCAATGGTCTTTCCACTTGGCCATCCAGTGGAATCTTCCAGAAATGGAAAATAAACACCCCAGGTGAAATGGGAAAACGAGGTGTTAACCTTCCAAAGCCTTCTCATCGTACCTGAATAAAATCCTAAATCCTTGCGATGGCCAGGTCCCCAGGGCGCCAATGGTGTCTAGCTCCCGCCACCCCTCCCCCAGCAGGCTCACTGATCAAGGGTTTGGTTTCCTCTCATTTCTTTCAAAGCTATGTAATTTCTTTCTTTAAAATTAATTTTTTTTAATTGAAGGATAACTGCTTTACAAACTGTTGGTTTCTGCCAAACATCAACATTAATCAGTCATACTCAAACCTATCTAGTTTCTTTTACATTGAAAGTCGCTCAGTCGTGTCCGACTCTTTGCGGCCCCATGGACTGTCCATGGGATTCTCCAGGCCAGAGTACTGGAGTGGGTAGCCTTTCCCTTCTCCGGGGGATCTTCCCCACCCAGGGATCAAACCCAGGTCTCCCGCATCGCAGGCGGATTCTCTACCCGCTGAGCCACAGGGGAAGCCCTCGTCTGCATGCTCATGGCAGAAGGGCCCATTACCTTAGTTTCCGTTTCCTGAAACCACTTATAAAGACCACCTTTTACAAGCTGCCAACCCCGAGAGGGTATTAGGAGGAAAATGAAGGCCATCTTTAGGAAGTGGCAAAGCCAAGATTTTAAACCCAGATTTGTCTGACACTAAAGCTGTACTCTCCTTTTTCATAGCACACAGACCCTCAGAATTGGAATTATTTGGTTAAATGTTACTTACCAAAAAGAAGATTAAAAAAAAAAAAACTGCCATTAGTAATGACTAAAAGTTCTAGTTTAGCCACATTTTTACCAATATTTGGTTACTTTAGATGAAAATATCAAATGTATTAATTATTTTGTATTTTTCATTACCAGCAAGGGTAAGCATTTATCCGTAGCAGTTTTAAATTCTCTTTTGATGCTTCCCTGTATTGACTGCAGGTGGCAGGTGCCCTAGGACAGAACGCAAAGCATATGACACATGAAATACTATCATAGATCAGGGCCTTCCTGGGAAATAACCTACTTGGGAAATAACTTATTATCTGAGACCAATGAAGGAAAAAGTAAGTTTACTAAAATATTTCTTTATTTGAATAAGGTCAATGTCATCTTTTGAATTCCAGCTAGCATCAAATTAACAATCAGGAAAAAAACAACAAAATGTCACCTAATTGAAATTAACAATGGATAGAAAACCTTTTTAAACTTTAAAAGAATATATTAAACAGGCAACATACAGATCTAAAAATTTTGCAAGTGGTGATTTTACATTAGATCTTATAAATAAAAAAATCCCCAGTATAACCATTTGTTCACTATCTCCCTGCAATAAGCACATGGACAGGAAAAAGATAATCACATCTTAATATTCACAACTGTCATTTCTGTTCTTTACAAAGACTGTGTCTCTGCAATGCAGCGGGTCAGGCAATCCCTTATTCAAGTAATTTTTGTTGTCCCCAAGTTATCAAAAAGTACAATTGTCTGAGATAAAATGTCACAAAAACCGCAATCAGGAAAAGCAAAACACTTTAGCAAGCAGATTCAAAGACGGGGGTTTTCATGGCTTGACCGTGATCTGAAGATGATTTTCTAAGAGCCACCAACCAAAGTACCGAGAGCCACAGGCAACAATCTGGGTTTAGTTTGTAGCTGCTGATAAACCAAGAGTTTTGGTGAAAAGAACGTTAAGTAATACGTTCTAAGTATAAAGAATCACTGCACATTTGCTAATGTCGCTGGCAATGAAAATATTATGTTAGCTCTCAGCTCAGCTGTAAAACTACACAAACCTGTGTTTCTTTCCCCACCCCTCACCTCAGTGGTTCTTAACAGTAGTGCACTCAGAATCGCCTGAGGTGCCTGCCGAAAAAACGATTCTCTGCAGGTCCCACTGCTGAGTTCCGATGCAGGTGGCTGGGAATGGCGCCCTGGAATCTGCGTTCTTAACAAGCGCTCCAGGGCTCAGACGGTTCACAGACCACACTCTGAGAAACACTACTGTCTCTTTAAAACATGACAGAATATTGTGCCCTCATAGTAAAGGTTCAAGCTGAATAAAACATTCAAACAATCAGAACACAAAAAGCACATTAAATAAGAGCATTAACCATTATACAATTGCATTTCTTTTTTAAAGTGGCAGAAGCACAAAGATTTACAGTAAAATTGTAAAATCAACTTTGTTTTAATCCAAGGCACCTGTAAAATACTTGCTGGTGTGAGAGAAGTTAATTCAATTCTATAAAACAGTACAGAAATGAGAGAATCCTGGCAGTGATTGATCTTCCCACATAGCAAACACATTTTTAAAAAAACAGAAATAAACTACTTGAAGTCAGTGATTTTGAGGAAAACAAACCAAATTTCCAACAATAATAACTTGTATGAACCGTCTTACTGAGTGATTTTTTTTTTTTAGCAAAAGGAAAGGAAGAAAGATTTACGCGTGTGTTCCTTTGTCCTAGCTGTCTTCACTTGTATTAGAAATGATCGGAACAATTCCTCTTGAATTTTAGCCTGGAAAATGTACACTGCATAGATCTACTATTCCTTTAAGTTCAGGCACACGTGGCTCTGGGTTTTTATAATACTGGATATTCTGCAGCTTTTCATCTCAAGAGGATAGATATCCAAGTCTCACAGTCTACAACTGAAACATTCTTCGGAAGGTATTGAAATTTTTTTCATGGAATAAGAGTAAATTCTGTCATGATGATGTCTCTGAAATATGAATTTCAACATGTTAACACTACAAGAAAAAAATACCCGTGGAGCAGGTCTGGGCTGAAGTGGCTGTCAGTGTGTGAGTGGCCAACAGAGCACTCCTGCTCGGTGTCCGGGACACACGCTCCCGTGACAGCGTGCTAGCACTGTC